TGCTTATAGCTAAACAAATTAAGACTGGCCGCCAGAACTGTGAGGAAACATCTCCTTAAAATTTCAGCTTTCTGGCTTTCCTGGCTCCTGACTTAGTAACATGCTCGAAAATAACTTTTACGGGCCCGTACGTGGGTACAACGCATATCCGACGTCTGGGTTTGAGCTCGTTGAGACGTACGTGGACGGGGAACATCCCCTTAAAATTACAGTCCTAGTTTTTCAAGTACCCAAGTTAGCAATTTACCCGAAAAAGGCTTTGGCGGGCCTGAGCGTGGGTACCACGCATACCCGAGGGCTGGGTTTGGACTCATCAAAACCCACTAGGGCGGGGAACACTCCCTTAAAAATTCAGCCTTCTATGATAGCTCTTCAGGTACTCGATTAGCAACTTACCTGAAAAATGTTTTAGTGGGCCCGTACGTGAGTACCACGCGCACCCTGGGACTAGTTTGCGGCTCATTAAGACTTACGTGGACAGGGAACGTCTCCGCAAAGCTTTCTAGCTTTTCTCATCCCCGAGTTGGCGACTTACTCGGGAAAAACTTTCACGGGTCCGTACGTGGGTAACACACATACCCGTGAGCTGGATTTGAACTCATCAATACCTATTTGGACGGGGAACATCTCCTCAAAATTTCAGTCTTCTAGTTTTTCAGGTTCCTGAGTTAAAAACTTGCCCGAAAAAAATTTTGGCGGGCCTGTACATGGATACAACGCATATCCAGAGTCTGGGTTTAAGCGCACTGAGACTTAGTTGGACGGGGAATATACTCTCAAAATTACAATCTCCTAGCTTTTCAAATTCTCGAGTTAGCCACTTACCCGAAAAAATTTTGGCGGGCCTATACGTGGGTACCACGCAGATCCGAGGGTTGGGTTTGAACTCATTGAGACTTACGTGGACGGGGAACATCCCCTCAAAATTTCAGATTTTTAGCTTTTTTGGTTCGCCAGTTAGCGGCTTACCCGCAAAAAACTTCCACAAGCCCGTACGTGGGTACTACGTGGGTAAGACCGTCCATTTTGGGGATAGGAGCCCATACATGCATGTAGATTAAGTCCCCAAAGTTTCAACCCTGTAGCTTTTGCAGTTCTCGAGATGAAAAAACGGTACAGAGGCCTTGCGCACACACAAACACACACACACACAACCTCTCGTCAACATGCGTTTTTCCCATCGCACAGCTGCAAAAATCGCATAAAAAGGCGACCCAGTGGATTGGCAGTATTGCTGAGTTTTACCCTAGTCAGCGCAATATGGACTTTAGCGGCCGACGCTCGCAAAAATTTAACCGCTTGGACGTTCCTCGAAGCAATAGCGCACAAGGCCGCTTACACAAACTAGATGTGAGTGAATTAGGCACAGGCGCCCCCGCAACACAGCTAATTTAGTGATGGAACAATAATTTCTCGCCACTGAAATCTTAGTTAATGAGCAAAAGT